TCATCTTTACCATAAGATCAAAGGTCTTATGTTAACCATTAGGCACTAGCTAAATAAGTCCCTTAGCAACGAACCTTGTTTTGTATGTTTCCTTTGTTTCCAACTTGCTACTTAACAGTGATCCCCTATGTGAAACCTACTGTCCTTCTTCCAACAGAAAGAGACACCAACTCCCTAAGTGTCTTTCAACTAAAGATCAATAAGAGCTTCTTTCCAACCTTGAGGAATACCTAGAAATTATTTGACATGATCATGGGTTGAGGTAAATACATCTTTGTCCTTTTGCAATTCTTTTGGTCTACCTTTTGGAATCAGTTTCATCATTGATTTGATGAACGTGTGCCAACTTTAGCACTGGCTGGGTTGCCATTTATTTCTCTAGCTTATGGACCAAATCTCTAAGTATCACCTTATGATAGGAAAGTTGATTTCTGAATAAGCTTAGAATTGTATCAACCTAACCCTATGTGCTGAATTTACAAGATCTGCTTGAATTAATCTGTTGTTGTCTTGTATCTGGAGGAAAGATTGTTTGGCATTTTGAATCAGGAATGAATCTGAATTTTAAGCTATATTAACATTTTAAAGCAATTAATGGTTTTGGTAGTTGGGTGGTTTATTTGGATCTTTTCCATGTTACTTGATTGTCAAGCATGCTGACATTTATAATAATTGGGGTTGCAGCTTGATATAGAGGACAATTCTGCTCAGACGTTTTGGCAAAAACTTGAGTTTGTCTTTGGTAAGGGCTTCATAAATCTCTGGCCTTAACTTTGCCTCTAACTAGTTTCTTCGTTGGTAAGCATGAAATGTGGACTGGGATGTATGTGGTCCATATGGGTTTTGATGCCAATCTGAGTCCCTTGATCACATGAATCACATGCATTTCTATTAGTTATTTACATATCAAACAAACTTTTTTTCAGTCTGTGCTACTGCCTTTTGGGTGATGAAGAAATGCATTTCAATCCAACTGTTATTCATTGCCGCATTTCCTGTTTGTTAAAGGATCTTAAATCTTTGATGAAGGCATTTTTCAGAGGATTTGTCTTAGTGAAAGGCAATGAATCTATGAGGCTATGGGAAAGTGGCTATTACATGGCTCACGGACTGATTGGAATTCAATTGTTGGGGATGATTCATTGGAGAGGATTAGATTTGGTTTGACAATTCAACTGTGATGATCAATCACCAGGGTCTTTAGAGGTGACTCTCATCAAAGGGTGACCAAAATGTGATGTCCTCTTCAGAGCCGCATTCAGTCCTTTATTTTATGCAAAACATTCCACTCTTGGAGCGAACTAAATCCAATTTATGTAGTTCTTCAATTAGAAGGCCGCTCAGTCTTGCACTATGGGTGGCAATTTGACCTGCCCTGCCCCTAATGGGTGAGTTTGGAGCCTTTTTGGACGGTGTTTAGGCAGGTTTGAGGAAGAAATTAAAACCTGTCCACAGGGGAGGGACGCACATAGGGTTTCCCCACTCGAACTGTTCCCGATTATGTTGTGTTTTGAAAATACATTTCAAGATTCATTTACTTCCGAAGTTACCCCTCGTATAGAAAGAAGTTACTTAGGTTTCCGATGGACTTCACAAATCAAAATACACTTCAAAATCTCACTCTTACCATCTCTCTGCTCCTGCATGGACTTCACAGATCCATCAAGATGCACAATTTCAGCACTATCATTCTCCATTGGCCGGTGAACCCAATTTCATCGTCGGAAGCCTTAACTGTTGTGTTATTGCTATCCTTACAAACTGATCACTCTCCCTTTGTAATAAGACCATTCTTTTTTGATCTTCAACCCACTTGATCCTAGTTCGCCCAAGGCTTTTTTTAACTCCTCCGGACAAATTATTCTCTCCTTTTTTTTTTCTTATACATATAAATCATATGTCCACACAGGTGTTTTTTTTATATCTCATTCTTTGTTTAATTCTTTCATTTTTATTGTTGTTCTTTGTTATTCATTGCCATTATTGAGCGCAATTTTACTTTGGGGATGAAATCATTTTTTACGAATCGTATTTGCTCCTCATATATATATATATATGAGGATCACATGTCCACACAAGTGTTTTGTTTATATCTCATTCTCTGTTTAATTCTTTCATTTTTATTGTTATTCTTTGTTATTTGTTGCCATTATCGAACGTAATTTTACTTTGGGGATGAAATCATTTTTTATGAATCATATTTGCTCCTCATCTATATATATATATATATATATATATATATATATGAATAGTAATAATTTTGTATCTTTTCACAGTTTTGATCAAAGTTAGGTTCAAGAAATTTTTATCATTTCAAATTTTAAGGCCTAATTTTGCCTACTTGAACCTAAGTGAGGGTTTTTTAGGTTCTTGAGTGTTTCTGTGCCAAAAGCTATGTTTTCAAGGTGTTGTTGAAGTGTTTGTCTCTTTGAGGGTTTATGTGTTAGGGAATTATGTAACTCTTTGGAGGGATGGAAGCATTGGAGTTGGTATTATTATTAGAAGTTGTGAGTTTTTTTGTGTAAATTTTTTGAAGGTTCTGAGTGGAGAATTCCTACAAACAGCTACAGCTCCAGAACCTGCAAGAATTAGGAGCGTTAATGAAGTCAAGTCTATCAAGCTTTAATAATCTTAGGATCCACTCGAGTTTTTGAAGAAATCTTCAAATTTGGCTTGAGCTCGACTATGCTTGGCTCTTCCAAGGGGGAGTTCAGGTCAACTGGGTTTGCCTTGTTTTTTACAAGCTGAAATTCAAGCTTAGGCTCAATCTTAGACTTGTGTCGCTCACTTAAATAATCACAACAAAATGAAAAAAGTACTCTTTGTTTATCACTCCACCCTATAACCTAAAAATTGAATGAATAAAATTAAAATAAACTTTTACAAGTAACGAAGTGCACGGTACAATCAGGGGAGAGGCGATACATGGCAAAAGAAGTACATGATACATTTAAAGAAGTGCACGGTAACATAAAGTCATAAACTACTCCTACATCTGAACATCCATCAACATTCTAACAACCTACGATACACATTTGAGTGTAACCCACGTTTATCGCACCTATCAATAAAAGAGATAAAAATAACACTTTTCATAAAATTCAACTACAATAAAGAATCATTGATCCATAACTTTTTCAAAAGGAATAATTTAACAAAACATGGAAGAGATCCCACAGAAAATATATTTGAATTGATAGTAATCAATAACTATGATTTTGTAATCAATAAAGAATAGATCTTTGAAGAAAATCATGTATTTTTGTTCAAGAAACGAATCATGGATTCAAAAGAACGTAAAAACATTGTAAATCAGTTATTTATATCATAATAATGGTGAAAAAGATATATTATATAATTGTAATCATTAATGAATGAATCTGAAAAAGAACCCGATGTTTGAAGATACTCTTAGTGTGTTTGAATCAATCTTGAAGTGAGAATCCTCCCCATATCTCTTCTCTTTCTTCCTCTCAAGCTTTCTAGGGTTTTCTTGGATGAAAAATTGCTAAACCTAGGCCTAGGGGTTGTTCCTTAAATATTTATAATACCAAAAGTGGAGAAAACTCTCAACACAAATCATCCAACTTTTGTCTAGTGCATCTGGACACATGTTTCTCCCGTCCGGACGCATCAGATAGTATACCCCCGACTTCTAGATCAATTTTGATCTATTTAGAAGCCGATTTATGAAATTTTCATGAAATACTTTTTTCGTACCCCTTGAAGTTTAGTTTTTGCTTTCCAAAAGTCAGCTACATTGGATATTATAGTAAAAAGTTTTAACCAAAATAATAAGGTCGTGTCAAATTCTTTTCTACCCAAATCCTCTCCAACATAGATTTTAACTTTAGAATACTTCTAAACTTTTAATATAACTCATATAATCTATTCTAAGGTTTTTTGACCTTTCATACAAGGCACAATATTAATCCAATTCAAAAAAACAACCAAATCACAAGTAAAGTCCTCATTTGAAATCAGGCGATGGCCTCTGGTACTAGAAATAGATATGAATGGCAGAGCCACTCAGTGAGAGTGATCGTGAGAGAATGAGACTATGAAAGGCGAGTGAGAGTCTGATGCTAAGAAATCAAGGAGACAGTTGTTTCTCGTAGAGAGAAAGTGAGAGAATTTGAAGAGATGATTATTTGCAGAGAGAGAGACTGAGAGAATCTAATTGATGAGTGATTAGAAAGGGTTGGAGATTAAAGAGGATGAGGGTTGAGAGAGGCGGGCTCAAGGAAGGGGCAAAGTTTGATTAGATCTAGGGTTTCGAGATGTCTTTGTTGAGAGGAGAGGGTTTTATTTTTAAGGTAGGGAGACTAATAAAGAACCGAGAGACTGAGGGGGGGAGAAAAGAGTCTGAGATATGAGAGGTAGTTGTGGCTCGTTGGAGAGAGATTGTGGGGGATATGAGAAAGAGGGTGAGGTCAATGGCGAGAGTCTTAGATCTAGGGTTTTCTTTATTTCTATTGAGAAGATAGGGGTTATGGCCAGAAATACTAAGAGGGGACCTAGAGAAGGAAGAGTATTCTGTATAGTGGATGGGCTATTAGGAGCAAAAATTGTTAGACATATGATTCACGGGCATAGTGTCCCAAAATGTTGGAGAAACTACAATTATTTATTAAAAAAAATGAAAATCTATAAATCGAGCTCCAGATTTGGCATGGCTCATAATTTAATATGAATAAGAGAGAGGTCACTTACGAAAGAGACTTAGATCTAGGGTTTTCTCTATTCTATTGAGAAGAGAGGGATATAGGTAGAGATAGTAACAGAGGATCCAGAGAAAGAATAGTATTCTGGAGGTGGAAAGTGGGAGAAAAATTAAGATTACTTATCAAAAAATAAAAAAATTTACATAAGGTGTAAGTTGGCTCTGTTACAAATTGGGCTCTAACAAGTGATTAGATTTGGCTGATATTGTAATATGAAGGAGCTTGAATCTATCAAAAATTGAACCAAGCTTCAACTTCTTGGATCATTTAATCACCCTAGCAGCAATTGGCGTCAACTCTTCTGGTTTGAAAATTTTGAACCCTCTGCGATATGACTACAACCAGAACTAATTGGACAGGACAGTGACTTCTACACCCACCTTTTAACAGGGCTAGGACAAGACCAAAGCGATATAGAATCTTAGGATGCCAGCGACAAGCCGATGACGACAACTGCACCAACCCTTCACTACTGCAATGATGAGACCAGCTATCAGCAACAAGATTTCGACAAGAAGAAGATGAAGATGATGATAATTGAAAGAAACAGCCAGTATGACGAGTAGCGGCAAGTACACAATGACCATTGATGACGATGACCTAATGACAGGATCGAAAAGAAGAAAAAAAAAAAAAAGACTAAAAGCATGAAAAATTTAGGATTTGTTGTGCTTTGGTACCAGGTTAGGGTTTACGTATCAGGGATAGGAGATAGGGCAAAGAATTTTTGGTAGAGAAAAAAATCCCACCACCTATAGGTGGGGGATGACTAGGTGTTCACGTTAAGACATAAACATTGTAATTGCATAAACACTCCTAACATTCATAACTCAACAACACCAGTTTTGGTATACAACCTTTTCTGTCTTCTTTTATTATCTTTTCATTCTAAAGTGTTTATTTATCTTAATAAATGTTTTCTTCTTATGGAACTATGTTATGTTGCTCACCATAAATACCACTGCCTGGTGAGATGAACTTATACCCTCGAAAAATTCTGACAGCTACAGAAGTGGTGATGATGATATAAATGAATGAATCAGCTTTCCTCTCCTCCAGCATCTCTTATAGTTCTGACACTTTTCTATTATCCAAAATAGCCATTGTGCTTCCTATGAACTGCAGCAAATATATTTTGTATTGTACACCTGATGCTTATAAAGTTATGGTTCATCTGATGTCATGGTATTTTGGTTTTGTATTACGAATTAATAATATGCATCTTGTCCCACAGGATGGTTATATGTCCTTGAAATGGCATTGAAAGTGTATGCATATGGGTTTGTGAACTATTGGAGGGATGGTCAAAATCGTTTTGATTTCATTATCATCTGGGTTATAGGTGAGTATCTAGACAATTAAACTCCTTGGTTAATGTCCTTTCCTTTGTCCTTTTAAATGTACGTTATTAGCGATACTAAATTTTTTCTCATTCAAATGTTATCAACATTGTAATGTCAGCATCAAGACATCACATCCATTTTCTTAAAAAATTGCTGTGCTATCACTCTGGTGAATTACCACCAGAGCTAAAATCATCATTTGGGCTTTAAACTTAAATTGGAGAAAATATGACCATAGTTGATAAAATGACCTGCCAGTAACTGTCAGGTACATGATTATACCTCTTGCTTTACTATGTGAGTTGCCTTTGATCGAATTGCCACTGTTAATATTGTGGTTATACTAATGAAAGCACAGTGGGTGATTGTGGGAGATCTGATTTCTGATGCCAAGAAAGATTATGCAGACTGTACTGAATGAAATATTTTTTGACAGTATTTTATTAATTTTACAACGGCCTAATGATGTCTACTTGAAAAATACAAGACACATTCGGCTTCTACTATAACTACAGAACTATGCTTAAATAACAATTTATTTTTTCTGCTGTTTCCTGGTGCATTAGCCAATAATTGATAAATTTACTCTGAACTTATTCATGACAGTTTCATACCAACTTCATTTCCCCTATCCAAAATGATTTTGCTGTAGGTGAAGGAAAGTTAGTTTACAGTTGATCATATCTTAGCATATTTATTTGAATGGTTTAAACATTGTTGGCTCCTGAACTTTGGCACTGGTACCAATTGGCCCCTAAAACTTCATTTTTTTTCTCACCCTTGCTCTCAAACTTTTATGAAGTGTGTTCTGCCAGCCATTGTCGTTAGTATTTTGGGGTTTTTCCATATGATTGCAACATGTTTCAGTAATCTGGGTAATTGACAAATTTACCCCCTTTTAAAAAAAAGGATGTCAACTATTTGATTCATATCAAAGAAATTCCTCTCTCTCTCTCTCTCAAACCATTAAATTTAATTCATCTTCACCCTCTAGGTTACCACCACTGACAGCCAATTTCACCACTCTGTCACTACTCTTGCTTCCCAACCTAACAACTGTCACTCCCAAAATCCGCTACCATCCTCGACCTCTATCTTTGATAAACAAGCTGATACACCACTAACCACTGCCCACCGTCATGTTTTTGTACGCACACACAATGTAGAAACTACATATATTTTAACCACCAACATGCATTTACCTCTGTGAACCACCACTTATGAGGTATGGCCCACCACCACAATGAAAATTGGCTATATGTACATGTATGTATGTTTATTTATGAGGGGGGGGGGGGGGAGAGAGATGGATGATTAACTGTTCGGTCTTCATTCTTCCTCCTATGAGGAAGATAGAGGGGTTTGGGGAGAAAATCTTTTTGGTCGAGTGGGGGAAGTGTTTTCTAGAGATAGGTTTTCTATGAGAGTTTTTTTTTTTTTTTGTGGGGGGAGGGGAAGTGTGTGAGAGAGAGTGAAAATGTGAGTTTTTTAGAGGTTGAGAGATGTTTTTTTAGAAGAGAGTGAGATGTTTCCTTATGTCAATTAGGAAAAATGGATTTTCTAAAGATATATATGGATAGATTACTATTTAAGAGAAAATGAGACAGGACTGACTTTTGGAGAAAGAAGTATTTTTGTATTTTAATGGGTCAAGGATGACTAACACATGCAATTAATATTGATTTACAAATATGATCTTGTCCAATATATATTGATTTACAAATATGACCTTATGTATAAGCCACATTTATGATATGTGGCAGTCTTTCGCCCAAAACCTAACGACAATGGATTAAGGTCAGCATTGCTCCATCTTGTAGAGTTTGAGGACAGAATTGTGAAAAAAATGAAGTTTATCTGCTGATTTGAAACTAATTCCAAGGCTCAAACTCTATGATCTTTGATTTAATTTTCACATAGTTCGTAATTCTTGTTCTTTTTCACATTCTCATTCAAAATTAGATGACTGGTTCATCATAAGAACAAAACTGATCCCTTTTGTTGGGTTTCTATAGCAATAATCATGTGCTACAACAAATGGAATTTTGGTCAAGATGGGGGAGACATTTGATTGTCATTGTTCCGGCCATAATGAGTTGTTGACACCAACTATCGATGCCATAATGGACAAATTGTTCTTGTTATGATCGATTTTAAAATTCGGAAAATAAAATGAGGTTCATAAGAGAATGAACGAGAGATGATACATTGATCTTAGGTATCTATGTCTAGATTGTCCTATGCTTTATAAATAATGGCATGACATAAATTTACTTATTCATACAGTCGTAATCTTTTTAAACTAAATCAAATCAAGTCTTATATCCCAATCATTTGCGGTCGGCTATATAAGTTTGTCTTCGCCATTCATTTCGATCACATGTCTTATACTTTATCTTTTCTTATTATTTCGTTTAATGTTAATTTAGGTCTATCTTTACTTCTAGTACCATTTAGCGAAATTTTATCACTTTTTCTAACGGTGCCGCTATCGACTTCCATTGAATAGGACCAAACTATCTTAATCTTTTATCTCTCAACTTGTCTTCAATTGGAGTCACTCCAATCATTTCTCTAATACGATCATTTCATATTGTTGGGGTTATAGTCTAGTTTATTAGGGTTTTTTTTTCCTTTTTTTATTCTTACTATGACTTTTATGTTTTGCTTATATTAGAAGGGTGTTTAGGTCACTTTATACTATTGTATGAATATATATACGGGGTTCTACTCCTAGTTTATGTATCCCTTTTCACTCACAGATATTTCAAGTTAGTATCAAAGCCAAAGTCTAACCCTAACCCTAGCCTCCACCATAATCACCTTTAGCAATGAAACCACCCCTCTCCAGCATACAAATACCTACAACAGCCAGCAGCGAAACCACCAAGTCCCACAAACCAGCGACACAACCCACACCAAATACCTCCAGCAGCCAGCAGTGAAATCACTATAACCCAACCTACCAACCTCCCAACCCAACCAGCCAAACCCAGCAACTCCCTCACGGCCACCCAACGAAACCACCTAGACCCCACGACATAACCCAACCCTGGCCCACTACCCCTGCCCATTGCACCACTACCCATGCCCACTTCCCTACTTCGCCGGATCTCAGGTTTTGTAAGAGGGGTCGGATCCCCACCCCCGTTGATCTATTCTTGATGCAGTAGATCACTTATTTATATTTACTGGATTTATTGACACTGTGACCTACTTATTTGGAAGCTTTCTGGACCTTCTTTATCTGTCGCTATTGTTCAACTGGAGGTATATTGTTCTTCCTTATTTTTGTCTCTATTTATCGTAAAGAATTTTTCTGTCACGATTGCCTAGATGTTGTTATGGCCACTATTAAGGGACTTGAGCCCTCTACCATTGAGACCCCTACTCTTAGTACTTCCACTTGGAATGTATCGCCTACTTCTACTGAGATTTCCTCTCCCACTTTATGTTTGATCAGTAAATAGTACCTACTGGTCCAGTTGCATTATCGATGATGTCGGGTATGATATCTTAAAAGGTTACGACACAATTGTTGAATGACTGTAACTTTATTGAGTGGTCACGCTCATTTTAATTTTTTTTAGTACGTGTTGGGAAGCTCGGTTGGCTGACGGGATAACACCCAAAGCCAGCTGATGATGATCCTAGATATTCTGTGTGGTTCTTTGAGAACTAAGCTATTCTTGGATGGTTATTTGTCTCGATGGAGCCCTCTGTTTGTAGGGTTCACCAGTTTTATAGCTCTGTTTTGAAACTATAGAGCGTATTATGAAAGATGTATTTCCAGTCAGGATGTGGAGTTCGTGTTTATGAGCTTTCTCAGGAGATATCTTATACTCGACAAGGAGATATGACGGTTTAGGATTATTATGGCTATTTGACTCGGCGTTGACTTGAGTATGAGACTTTGCGTCTTCTTGCTGCTATTCCCAAGATAGAGCCCGGGAGAGCGGCATTCCTATATACTCGAGAGCAGGAGAATATGATTCACAAGTTTTTTATGGGGTTTTGTGATGAGTTTAAGGGACCTTGTTCTCAAATCTTGTCGATGATGAGGCTTCCGTCTCTATATGAGGTGTATACGATGATTGAGCAGCATGAGTGTCGTGTCCATATTTCCTCACTACCAGTTGCGACCTTGACCCTCTCATGTTGTTTAGGTGGCCTTTGCACCTGTTGCAGGGTCTTGCTCAAGACCTTCAGCCACGGGAGGACAGAGTTTGGACCAGCGTAGACAGGGTGTCCCAGATCAGTGCCGACAAGGCGATTCTGGTCAGTGTGATTATTGTGGCTGACCAGGACATCTCCGGGCTACTTGTTGGAAGCTTCATTTGAAGCTTAAGCTACCTCCTCAAGATCGTACTGCTACTATTGCTAAGGTACCACCACCTACTGCGCTGCTCCTACTACCACTCCTCCTTGGCAATGTGATATGGATTCTAATATTTTTTGATTAGATATACTTATGTCTACCCTGACTTCTCAGGGTCCGACTACTACTGTTGCTACCACTATAGGTATATCTTGTGTATTTTATGCTTGCGCCCGTCGGTCTCCCTTTTGGATATTGGACTTGAGTGCAAATGGTCACATGACAGATGAGGTCCATCAATTCACCACTTTTGACGAGCAATTACATATAGGTTCAACTAACAGATGAGGCACATGCCCTATTGTTAGTAGGGGTACGGTTTGCCTCTCAGATGATTTTAT